TGATTTCATGGTGACTGGAAATCCACAAAAGCTCTGATGCATTGTGGCCTTAAGCTCTCTAGGGGATCCGGGTAGGCACCCCTGTTCACCTGCTCTTCGGACTTCTGTGTTGTAGAAGGAACCTTCTCAAATACCTGGGAGGGTCAAAGAGGGGAGTCCACTGTGGAGGACAGGCAGCAGCAGCCGGGTGAGTAGCTGTGATCCTCTGATTTCAGGGTGACTTGAAATCCACAAAAGCTCTGATGCATTCTAGGTTTAAGCACTCTAGGGAATCTGGGTAGGCACCCCTGTTCACCTGCTCTACTGACTTCTGTGTTGTAGAAGGAACCTTCTCAAATACCTGGCAGGGTCAAGGAGGGGAGACCTCGGTGGAGGACAGGCAGCAGCAGCCGGGTGAGTAGCTGTCATCCTCTGATTTCACAGTGACTCAGCATTCAGCTCTAGTCTACCTTGGTAGGTTGTCACTAGGCTACTGTTATCTTCCCTCAGAGCCAGAGGAGGAGACTGAGATGCCCACACTGGACTACAGTGACCAGATAGAGCGGGAAGATTATGAGGACTGTAAGTAGGGCCTCCCCGTGTGTGGACTAGACTGAGGCCTGGGCACTGAGGGTTCGACCTGAAGCCCACCAGCATGGCTGCTCAGAATCTGCCTCCCCCTTAGTTCAGTACATCCATCGCCAGAAACAGCCCAGACCGACACCCAGCAGGAAGAGGCTCTGGCCAGAGCGCCTTGAGGAGAAGACCGAAGAGCCAGAGGAAAAGAAGGAAGTCGGTAGGATGGGAGGCAGTAGAGGGGGTTGTGGTCAGGAGAGAGGCCCTGGTTCACTTCCACCCTCCTCCACAGATCCACCTCTGAAGCCCATGCTGCCCCCTGACTATGGGGATAGCTACTTGATCCCCAACTACGATGACTGTGAGTATGTAGCTTCTCTATGTCCTTAGATGCAGGCAGATGGACATCTGGGGTGGAGACTGTAGTCAGGACACTGGGCCTTCTTTGCCTACATTCCTGGCTCCTGACTTTGACACTAGGAGTGTCTCTAGGTCTCTCAGTCCTGTTTCCCTATGTTGGCCCAGCCCTCTGTACCCTGGGCTCTAGCAGGCTTCCTGCCAGCTCATTGCATCTGCCTTTTCCAATGGGGTTGGCTCACAACTGGGCCTGCTTTCCCACAGGCCCACCAGTACCAGGGACCCCAGGCTATGCTAGTACTAGGACTGTAATGGTCATGGAGTCCACAAAATCCCCAGAGGAGTCACCCCACTGGACCTGAAGACTAGCTAATCTAACCAGACAGATAAGAAACAGAAACCAAGGGGAAAACATCTAAAAACTCCCATCCAATGATGATAAACTCAGAAACCTCTCTATTGTTGATGCTTGCCTTACGGCCTTTTGTGAGGTAAGGACCCCAGGCCAGCATAGATTCGGGCCAGCTAACCCAGGCTTTCTCTCCTACAGTGGACTATTACTTTCCCCATCCTCCACCACAGAAGCCTGACGTTGGACAAGAGGTGGATGAAGAAAAAGAGATGAGTGAGTCAGAACAGGGAGATAGCAGAGCAGGCTACCTCCTGAGGCCAGATGTGTCTAGCAGATGTGCCCCCAGCTCAACTTGAATCCCTCTGTCCCCTGCTCAGCCCGGTCATTATCTGTATGCTCCATGTTCAGCCTGACCCCTCCCACATGGTCTCAGGTCAGCCTGACCCTCATGTATCCAAGCTTAGCCTGACCTCTCCTGCTTGCTTTTAGGGTCTCATAAGAACGGAATGATTCTGCCTATTTGAAAACTCTTTTGAAAGGGTTCCACCCATGTTCAAGACACTCAGTTTTTTTCTCAGTTTTCCTTGGTTTTTGCTTCATTGTAGCAACCAGTGAGACCGAGGGAAGGAGGCCTTCATTTCCCTGGCTACCTGGGTGGGTGTTAAGCACTTAAAATCTGTGAAAATCGCTATTTGTATTAATGATGTCGTCATTGAAGGCTCTCCCGATGTTTATGTTCCTGTACATAAGCAAAGCTGGGTGCAGACACATGACTCCTTGGTTCCAGCTTGGGATCTTCGTTGGTGTCCTGGCTGCCTTGAGCTAAAGGACTGTCAGGGACTGGAGAGGCTGCTTAACAGTTAATACTGGGCTTTCTTCCAGAGGGAGAGTCATTCAATACAAACCTTCACCTGCAGGTGACATGTGCTACAAGCTCCCTTCCTCTGACTATATTCACAGGCTGCTCAGAATCATGAGGTGCCTTAGAGCCAGTCTCCTGGGATACCCCACCTCCCAGGATTGGCAACATCAGGCTCAACAGAAGACTTATGAGCAGTCTTTTCTTTCCTACTTTTACTAGTATAGGCTGAGCTGATGACAAGAAAAAGACCAGGGAGCAGGCAGGGAGCCAGGAGCGGATGGGCTGGAGGACAGCTCAGGGTTTACAGTGTGTACTGGTTTTGCACAGAACCTGGCTTTGATCCCCAGCGTCCACATCAAGCAGATGCCAATCTCCAGAAATGCCAGCTCCAGGGGTGGGATTCCTCTGGCCCCAGCACACACACACACACACACACACACACACACGATTAAAAGTCAAATAATTCTAAAAAGATAAAACAGAATGGCAGCTTTAGCAGGCAGCTGTGCTTAGCAGGTGCAAAAAGGAGGAAGCATCTGGCTCCTCAGCAGCTGGAGAAGAACAGAAGAGCTCAGGGGCGTGGCCAGGGCAGGAACAAGGAGAAGGAGTGGAGTCAAGATGGCAGAGATCTGAGGCTGAAGAAGGATAAAAGGCTGGAAGGAGCCAGAGGACAGGAAGTGCAGGCTCTGGTCACTGGCAGAGTTCCCGAGAACCGCCAAACATTAAGGCCCAGGGAGCTGGAACATTGATCGCATGAGGACTTGAAAATCCTCAGGCTTAGGCTTCCCTGCAAGTTACAGTAACAAGCTGCAGTCAATGGTTGGGAAAACCAGTTCCCTGGGCCCACACTAGCGCTAAAAAGGAAGGGCTGTAGAGATGGCTGAGCAGTTAAGAGCATTGGCTGCTCTACTAGAGAACCAGGGTTTGATTCCAGCACCTACAAGACAGCTAACAACCATCTGTAACTTCACTTTCAGGGGATCCAACTCCTTCTGACCTTCGAGGGTAACAGGCATACACCTGATACACAGAACATACAAACCATATACGTAAAATAATGACAATATAAACACTTTAAAGAGCTCTAATGCTTACAGAGTGAAGGGGTCCCCCCGGTGGAGGTCTGCACACATTCCACCAGAGGGCGCCGGCTGCTAATATTCCTACTTGCTCACTGTTCTTGCTCACTGCTGCCATTCCCTGAAGAAAACCCAAGCTGTCAATCACCTGGCACTGGAAGAGCTTGCCCTTGCCCACCCACAATTTCTGTTTAGGTGAAAGACCCTAGCCAGTTGACTGGTAGCGGAGGAGCTTCTGAAGGTGAGACTCATGAGCAGTGAGGAGTTTCATTAAGCCCGAGCTTCCACCAGAACAAGAGTGGGCTCGCCAACATTCCTTAAGCCCCTCGAGATGCTAGTGGCCAGACCCGCCCCTGAGGACCTCCAACCACCAGGTCCCACCCCCCAAATACTCTAATGTCATCATCAGGGGAGGACCCAGCCCCTCCAGATGCAGATCAAACTTCACCCTTCAGAGCAAAGCCTGACCTCAAGTCCTGGGCTTGGAATCCCATCAATCCCCACCCTGGAAAGTCCCAAAACAAGAAAACCCTATATAAAGCCTGCCTCCTGCTTGGTTCTCTGCTGCTTCTCACCTGAGCAGAGGCAGCCATCCTCTTGCCTCTTTTCCAATCAATCTCTTGTGTAAGGTTTGCTGTGTGGTGTGACTCTGTGATGCTCCTTGGCTCCTGACTGCCAGGATATCTCCTCCAGAGCTGCAACACTTGCATTGGAAAGTCCTCCCCACTCTGAGCTGTAAGACTCCTACTCTCAGAGATGTAACATTTATGCACTCTGTCATGGAACAGGGAGTGGCTCAGGCCACCCTCCCTGAGGAGCCATGAGCAGTTAATGGTTGCTAAGGAGGAGGAGGAGCAGGATGAGGAGAAGGAAGAGGAACAGGAGGAGTAGGAGTAATAGTGGGAGTCTTTTGGTTCCTTGAACAGTCTTTCTACATAGCACTGGCTGTCAGGGAACTCACAGCTGGCTGGCTTTGAACTCACAGAAAGCCTTCTGCCCCTGAATCCTGAGTGCTGGGATTAAAGGGGTGTGCCACCACACCCTGGTTACTGATGCAGCTCAAGTAAATAACCTCACCCACTCTCATGCAAACAACCCTAATTAAATGCAATGAGCCCCAAAAATACAAAATAGAACATATCCACTAGGCTGGGGGCTGTTGGGAAAAAGGGGGTTGAAGAGGAAGGGGTGAGATTAATGGGGGAGTATTATGAAAGTACAATATATATGTATACAACATGAACAGCTGAAAAAAACAACAACAACAACAAAACATACACCAGCTTCCCTTGAGTTCTCAGGAAGACAGCGCCACATAAAGCTCAGACTCGCCTACCTTCTGCTGGGATTACAGGTGCTCATACCACACCCAGATCCCTGGCTGTTATTTTCTTTCCCCTCAATACTGTCCATATTAGGGCCATGTCTGGTGACATATGCTGTAATGCCAGCACTTAAGAGGAGAGAACAGGAGGGTTGTGGGCTCCCAGGAAGTAAGATTGTCCCTGTTGAGTCTAGCCATTTGCTGATTACAGTTTCAGCTCTTCCGCCTGAGTCTGGCTCTAGATGTGGGTAAACTGTGGTTCTCAGGACAGTGGTTTACCCTGAGACCTCAAGTCTTTGATGGCTCTAACAAAAGCTGTTACTTTTCGGTATGCTCAGCATTTTTCCTTATTGTGTAGATGGAGTGGTCACTTCCCAACTCTTTCCATGTCTGACCAGAAACCAGATGGTAAAGCTATGATTTTAGAGCTGGAGAGATGACTCGGTGCTTAAGGGCACTTGTCATTCTTAGAGAGGACCCAAGACCTGGGTTCAATTCCCAGATCCTACATGGTGGTTCACTACTATCCATAATTCCAGTTTCAGGTGATCCAATACCTTCTTCCAAAGCCTTCTGGCCTCCATGGGCACCAAGCATACATGTGGTACACACACCTGTATACAGGCAAAACATTCATACATATAAAATAAATAAATCTAAAATAATTTATTTTTAAAGGGTCTTAGTCAGTAAAGAGGACCTGAATTTGATCTCCAGAACCCACATTATTAAAAGTCCCCTGGGGAGGAGGGTAGCACACACTTGTAATCCCAGTGCTGGAGGCAAACCCAAGCAGACCCTCAGAGCTTGCTGCCAGTCATCCCAGCCTATTTGCCAAGTTCCAGGCTGTAGAGAGACTCTAAAAAAGTAGGAAGTCTCTAAGGGGCAATACATAAGTTGTCCTCTGGCTTCCTTATGTGCATGCACACACAAGCAAGTCCCCGCACACACAAGTGTACCTGCACACACAACAAAAGTCTTTAGATCAGTGTTTGGTTTCACACTGAGGGCCTGAGATGCATATTTTACATAACCAAAGCAGACTGGGCCTCCAGGTTCTCCCAGCGTCCCTCAGTCCCTACCTGGCATACCCTGCCCTCAACTGTGAACTTTCCAGTGCAGAGGCTGGGCTGCCTTCCCCCAGAGGCTCTTCCCTAGATAATCCAGATGTTTTGGTCCCTCTCTCTCTTCTCCTTTCTCTGTGTGTGCATGCCTCCTTCCCACTTCTTGTCTCCCTCCCCTACCCACCTCTTTTCCCCAGGGAGACTTCCCTGGCCTCTGTCCTTGGGCCAGGTGAACTGCCCTCCTGAGAGCAGTTTCCCAATAAACCTGCCTTTAAAATATTCCAATCTGGTTCCAGTTGGCTCATTTCACCGACGGTGGTAAAATAACCTATCAATCAGTTTTCTCTGTAAAAGTATGAGAGCTTGGTACACAGCTTGGTAGAGCTCTTCTTGCCTGGCATGTTCAGTGCCATGAGTTCAGTCCTCAAAGTAGACAGAAAAAGGTGTGCACTAGGGAAGATGGTAGGGTGGTGAGCACAGGCGTCCACCACTCACTTACGTGACTGATGTGCAGAAGGGTCTGTCAGGAACAATATTCTATCTGCACTTTCTTAGGCTGTGCTTGTCTGTTTGGTGTTGTCTCATCACTAGGTGAATTAGATTATCCATATTTCCTTCCTTATAATTTTTAATCTTATTGTCACATGGCCATCGCATTGGTGAAGGTCAGAGGACAGCTCTATGAGTCAGTTTGTCCTTCCACCTTTATGTGAGCACTCAGCACAGAGCTGAGTCTGTCCCCTTCTGCATCAAGCACCTTTACTGGATGGGCCATTTGGGGTAGCCCTAGATTAACTGCATTTACTTCATCTTGATGCCTGGCACTAATCGGTTCTCTAGCTGCTCCTCCCACAGCTAGCTAATTATTCCCAGAGTTATCAGAAGAGCTCAGCCAGCCCGGGGCAGCCCTTCCGAACACAAATCAATGGTTCTTCCAACACCTTATACCACAGAACTGGGAATCATCTTAGCACTCAGGTGCAGTGGCTTAGGTAAGGGACTCTTCCCGAATACTTTCTCAGACAAGGAACCAGACAGGCTAGGAGAAACGTTCAGGAAACAGTTAATGACAGCAGAGTTCAGGAAAGGGAGAGCATGCTGCAGTAGGGCAAGACTGTGGACAGAGACAGCAAAGAGCCAGCCACAGAAAGT